TTGTACCAACGTTGTTGAAGTCTTCGAGATCTACAAAACCGGTTATACAATAAACTAAAAAAAAAAAAAAAAAAAAAAAAAAAACCTTAACTTGACTCTAAAATACTCAAAATTGATTTATAATGATTCATAATTTATATGTTTGATAATATATTCCGAAAAGATATGTACGTTGTAATTATTTTAACCGTTGTTGTACAATATAACCCTGTTTTTTATTTATGCCGGTAATTAAAATTTTTTTTAATATATATATTTATATATAATTTTTACAGTATAATTTACTCTTTTTTTTTTTTTTTTTTTTTACGTGCTATTATTTAAGCTACATATTACTGATGTACTGTACACTATTATTTTATGTATTTATATTACTGTGACTGTATAATTAATTACAAGCATAATATATGCTATAGATATAGATTTAGATATAGATTTAGATTTTTTTTTTTTTATTGAATACAAAGTTTATTTTATTTAATATAAATAATTATGATTTGTGTAATTGCGAATCTATCAAAATTTATTTAAAAGTGCTGGTTTGACCAGCAACATTCCCCCAATTCCAATTAACGGAAAAAAAATACCTTTCTTTTTTCTTTTTCTTGCTTGACGTTTTTTTAATTTATTTGCAATTTTTTCTTTTGAAAGTTAGAAGAAATATAATAAATACTTTTCTTCTTATCTTTCATCCTTATATTCCATTGCTTACGCTATCTTAGAAGATATATATAGTATCATATCTCTTCTTTGATTTCAAAAAAACCGCGATTAGTGTTCTCATTTGAAGAAAAAAACAACTCCTTTGAAGTTTCTATTATAACAACTGAGAGAACAACAAACAACAAAAACGAGACTATATTTTAGTAAAACTATCAACGACTATATACAAGTCACTTATTTTTTTTACTACTTAATGAGCTGTATTATAGCACGCGACCTTCATATTTAAAAAAAATTTTCACTTTATTTGTAAATACATTTTTTAAAAAAAAAAAATACTTTTTTTTTTATTTAACGAATATCACATCGTTTTTTTTTCAATTTTCAAAAAAAAAAAACCACTCATACTTTAAAAATGGAACAACCATCAATCACCTATTCTGCTACTCAATCTGTCGACTATCTTGGACATACTCATAACTGGTCTGACACTGATGTTATTTCTTCTTACAAACAAGTTTGTCGAGACCTCACTGCTTGTCAAGAAAAGTGTCGTGAAGAATCTTTCAATCAAAAACAACAACTTAAAAATCCTCGTCCTTTAGTTGGTCTTCAACAACAACGCTCTTCGGGTAAGACTATCGGTAACATTAGTAAACAACTTCAACAACAAAAATATGAGTCTGCCCTTCGTGCCGAAGAAAAACGTTTGATTCGTATGAAGAATGCCCTTTGGAGACGTATGGGTTCTGCTGTCGGTTGCGTTGGAAAGGGCAATAAACTAGTTTCTCCAAAAGCTTTAAAATGGTAAGATAATTTTAAACCTTATTTTTCTTGTTTTTTTTTTTTTTTTTTTTTTTTTTGGTGTGGTGATTTTGGGGGAGGCACAATTGTACCCCGTTTCACAAGCTTTGTAATTTGGGCTGAAAAAAAAATTTTTGGGGATGGCGCGCAAATGATATGATTTCCATAAAACCTGTCAATTTTGTTATTGTATCCTACTTTTGGAATTTTAACTATGATCCGTGTAACATCTATCTGCCGAATACAACTCATCGGCTGATCACACGGACATTTTTATGAAAAGATTTATAATTACCCGAATTATCCTCTCTTTTATTTTTGGCGGGCTTATTCTGATGGACTGATTTTTTACGAATGGTCTTTAAAGTTTTCTTTCTTTATCATATTATATATTTAATATAATACATTTCACTCTTTCATTACTTCTTTTATTTCCCTCTTTACTCTTTTATTCCTTTCACTATTACCTTCCTTTTTTATGTTTACATGCGGTGAAACAAGGCATATAACAATTGCGTTTTACTTCTTTGTCCAATTGTCCAACAAACAAAAAAATCATTGTAAATTCTAACAACCATTATTATTTTATTATTCATTTATAATATAGGCAAAAAGAATGCGATATTCTTTGGTTATTCGGTCCCCTTTATCAACCTGATAACGATCCATTTATGGAGGATGATGATGACAAAACTTTAGTCGGAAGTCCCCCAGGTACTTGTTGCCCACCGTCACCCATCTTTGGTGCTACTTCTGCATCTCCATTACCAAGTTCCTTTGATCTTCCAACTCCTCCTTCCTCTCCTCAGAGCTCTCCATCAATTTACATTAAACCCGTTTTAAAGAAACCTGTGGAACATGATCCATTAAAAGATC